AAGGGATCCAAAAAGGGAAAGAAGTAAAACTCTCCCTCTTCACAAATTACATGAGCTGATCCAAAACTTTGGCAAAGTAGTGGGTATAAAGTATAACCCACACAACTCGGTGGCTTTTCTGTATGCCAACAATAAGAAGAGCAAGGCTGAAATAAAAAACTCCTTTTGTAATAGCCTCTAAAAAAATAAAATACCTAGAAACAAACTTAACCAAAGATGTGAAGGACTCTGTGATGAAAACTTTACAATTAAAACAGGAAATTAAAGCAGATTTAACAAAGTGGGAAAACCTGCTCCTGAATTGGGAGAATTAACACTGTAAAAATGGCAATACTGCTCAAAGTTATCTACAAATTCAATGCAATACTTATCAATATCCCAACATCCTTTAATAAAAAAGAAGCAATCCAAAAATTCATATGGAACAAGAGAATATCCTGAATAGCAAAGAGAACCCTTAGCAGGAAGAACAGTGGTGGAGGAATATCAATACCAAACTTCAAAGTTTATCATAAAGCTGTATTTATACAAACAGCTTGGTATAGGAACAGGCCTACATGACCAATAGAAGTAAAGATCCAGACCTGACCCCACAGACCTATGGCCACCTAGTCTTCAAGAAGGGAGCCAAAATTATCAGATAGAAGAAAGACAGCCTCTTCAACAAATAGTGCTGGCAGAACTGGCTATACACATGTAGAAAATTGAAGTTAGATCCTTACATATCACCCTGCACCAAAATCAACTCCAAATGAATCAAAAACCTTGAGGAAGAAGCAGAGACATGAAGGGATAGAGCTCCTTGGCACAGGTCAGAACCTCCTAAAGATCCAGAAACACAACAAACCAAAGAAAGATTGGATACATGGGATTGCATTAAACTGCAAAGCTTCTGCATGGCAAAGGACATAGCTAGTTAGATCAATAGAAAGCCCACATTAGGAGAAGATCTTCACTAGCCATACAACAGAGAAGGGTCTCATATCAAAAATATACCCAGAGCTGAAAAAATTAAACCCCCCAATAACAAATCTCCAAAGAAACAACAATCCATTACTAAGTGGGCTAAAGAATTAAAAAAGAGATTTCTCTGGAGAGGAAATAAGAATGGCCAATAGACACATGAAGAAATGTTCAACATTGCTGGCCATAAAAGAATTGCAAATCAAAAACACATTGAGATTCTACCTCACCCCAGTCAGAATGGCCATTATCAAGAAAACAAATAATAACAGATGCTAGAGGGGATGTGGCCAAAAGCAATGCTACTCCACTGCTGGTGGGAATGTAAGCTGGTTCAACCACTCTAGAAAGCAGTCCGGAGAGTCCTCAAAAGACTGAACTTAGAACTCCCTTATGATCCAGCAATCCCGGAGAGTCCGCAAAAGACTGAACTTAGAACTCCCTTATGATCCAGCAATCCCACTCCTGGGCATTTATCCAAATGATCACAAACAAGGCACATTAAAGGTTCTGGCATAAGTATGTTCGCTGCAGCATTATTTACCATAGCTAAGATATGGAACCAACCCAGATGTCCCCCACTATATGAAGGGATCAGAAAATGTGGCATATATACACAATGGAATTTTACGCTTCTATCTGAAAGAGTAACATCACCCTTTTCATAAGGAAATGGAAAGACAGAAAAAATTATATTAAGTGAAGTAAGCAAACCCAAAGAAACATAGGTCCCATGGTTTCTCTTATTTGCAATAACAAGTGTACATCTAGGATAATCCTAACAGACAAGCAGAAAAGGTCAAAATCTATGTACATATGACCATATAAGATGATGCTAAGCAAAATGAACCCCAAGATAGGAACACAAGAGGTGTTTTCTTTGTTGCTGTTGTTTTTAATGTATTATGTGAATTTTTTGTTTCTTTTCTAAGTCTTTCCCCCTATGGTAACCCCTATTTTCACTGTATTTGATGCCGGTGCCTGCATCTTATATATACACTTTTCTAATTTGGGGAAGGGAAGGGAAATAACAAAATGCTGAAACAAGGATCCAGGTTGACCCACTGTAACATTGAGATGTACAAGACACTATATTGAAAACAAACTTTACAACTTGGGAATTGGGGAGGTAGAGTTAGGGAGATGGGGAAGGAAGAAATGGTAGAGGAAAAACAAAGGAGGGGGTAACAATGACAAGAAATGTACTCATTACCCCTCTTTACAGTATCTTTACAATAAAAGTTTTAAAACATAAAAAAGAAACATAGGCTCTATGGTTTCCCTCATTTGTAATAATTAGTATATGCCTAGGATAGTCCTGGCAGAGAATCATAATAGCTCAATAACTGTATACATATGACCATACAAAATGATGCTAATTGAACTCCAAGACATGCAAACAACAGGCTTTTGTTTGTTTTGGGGTTGTTGACCTTGTTGTTGCTAATGTACTGTATCTGATTCTTTCTTCTTGTATTTCATTTTTCTTTTTCCATTGGTTTATCCCTGGCAATCACTGTCTTTGATTCTGCATCTTGTATATACATTTAGCTGATTTGAGGAAGTGAAGGGGAGTAACAAAATGCTAAAAGGACAAAGGATGACCCATTACAACAACAGTACTCACAAGACACTGTTGGAGATGAACTTTACAACTTCGAGGTGGGGCGGGGGGGGGGGGGCAGGTGGGAGGGAGGGAGAAGTGGGGAAGGGAAGGGCTAGTGGGAGAAAAACAAAGTAGATAACAATGTTCAACTAGAAATGTACTCATTACCTTACTCATGTAACTGTAACCCGCTGTACAGCACCTTTACAATATATGCATTTTTAATTTATTTTTAACTGTGTTTGCACACACATACTTGCAGTGCAAGCACAAGCACCACATTTTAAATAAGGTGATAGATTGAAACCAGTTAATTTGTGATATTATAACAGGAAGTACACGAGATATCACTATGGGGAGAAATTAAGCAAAGGATATTTGTGATTTCTACTAGTCCTTATAGCTGCATGTACATGTAGTCAACCAAAATAAAACAAAAAGTTTCCAGCCAAGCTTGATCAACACATGTTGACTTACACCCATGCCTCTAACTTGACCTGGCAATTTGGGTTTAGAGCTCCCCCACTATTTATCTATTTGACAGCATAGTGAGTGCAGTGGTAGGTAAGGATGACTCAGTGGTGGAAAGGGCAGGCCCAGCTAAGTGACAAACAGCTAAGTGCACAAAAGGATCATTATGTCTTCAGTCATGGATGGGGGGGAATGGAATCAATTTAAAGTTCTAAAAAGGAAAGTTGATTTCTGAAATATTCCATGCTCATTAAAAATGACTGTGAAATACTATTTAACAGAATAGAAAAGGAAATGCTACATTAAAATAATATCAAGCACAGCCACAGTAATTCACATTTGTAATCCTACCTATACTGGAGACAGAGAGCTGGAGGATCACAGTTTGAAGCTAGTCCAGGAAAAATGTTTGTGAGATCCATCTCAATTAATAATTGCAGAAATGTGGGCCTATCACACCAGCTACATGGAAGTCTGAGATCAAAAGGGACTGCATTTTGAGAACAACTTGGGCAAAAAGAGAGTGGCACCACATCTCAATAGAAAAGGCTAGGTGTGGGAAGTGGTGCTGTGGCTTTGGTAGTAGGGTGCTCGCCTTAAGCTGAAGAGCTGAGGGACAGCGCCCAAGCCCAGAGTTCAAGCTCCATGACTGACAAAAAAAAAGAGAGAGAGAAAGAAACAGAAAAGGCTAGGTGTGATGGCATGTATAATCCTAGCCAAAACAAGACGCATAAATAGGGTCATAGTCCCTCCTGGTCAAGTCAAAAGCAAAACTTTACCTCATAAGTAACCTGAAGGGGCTGGGAAGTTGGTTCAGTGGTAGAGTACTTGCCTGCTATGCATGGGGCCCTGAGTACAATTACTCAGCACCACATAAGCAGAAAAAGCCAGAAGTGGCACTGTGGCTCAAGAGGTAGAGCACTAGTCTTGAGCTGAAGAGCTAAGGGACAATGCCCAAGCCAGAGTTCAAGCCCAATCGACCAAAAAAAAAAAAAAAAGTAACCTTAACAAAAAAGGCTGGAAGCATGGATTAGTAGAATACCTGCTTAGCAAGAGTGAAGCCCTGAGTTCAAACCCCAGTACCAACAAAAAATATCATATCCATTAATTAATGACAACTTATTTTATATGAATAAATTTTATTGAGTTTTAGATCATTAGAAAGAATAGAGAAATGCAAGATAAATGCTTTCTAAACAGCATCTGATAGTATTCATCTTTTCTGTGTCATGGTATTTTCACTTTTTTTATAAAAAGTATAGACATTCATTTATTTAAATTTTTTACAAAGTCAAGAACCATCAAGTGGAAAAACTAAGTAATGCTAAGGTGAATGCTTATCAACATTAAAGTGGTTCTGAGTGTGACTCTCTCACAGACAAAATGGTGCTCGCAGCAGCTCCTGCTTTTCACTTACTGAAATTACCAGGAAAAAGCCCTGGAGGCCACCTGGCCCTGTGATGCCCCTGCTTGCAGGAAAAGCAGCCCAAAAGCGCAGTGAGAAGACGCAGGAGGAATCCTGAATCCTGGGCTACTGTCACAAATAACTTAGGGGTGGATTCTTGGAAGACACTCTTTGTGGGCTGCTTAAAATGAGATTAAGGCGAGATAGTTACCAATACACAAACGGCCAGGTCCACACAGCACAAGACAGTTTGGAAAATAATCTGGTGAACTTCAAGGCCAACCACATCAGGTAATTAAGTCACTGAAGGCGGTCTTCCCCGTGTGTGCATGCACAGAGGGCAAAACTGCAAACCTGAGCTGTCAGATTCGGGCAGACTCTCCCAGAAACACACTGGCCTGGACGCAGGAACCCCGTTTCTCTGACTTATCTCCATTACAAAAAGAATTCTTTTGAAAGTAACAAAACCAAAATAATTCCTGCCTTTCCTGTATTAACTTCTTTTGTCCAGCCAGGAAGAATTATCTTCCTCAGTACTGAAGCATCAGGCGCTGCCCTCACTGAATAACCTGGAAGCCAGGACAGCCCATCCTGGCTGCCAGCCAGGCCCAGGATTGACCACCGCTGTCCTGTTTCACAGCCTGCTTTGGGACAGACCTCCTACTGGACTAATAGCAATTACTGAACAGGGTGGGGTTAAGCTTCCCTATTTTTTTTTTTTAAGAAAATACACCCAATGGTTTGCTGAGGATATTTTCCAGAAGTAATAAATGGGAATTGTAGACCTGCAACAGATCCTAGAATAACACAGACAGGCAAGAATCTGTCAATACAGCAAAATTCCAAATGTGAAATCCATGGTCCAGGAAGAGATAAACAGGGAGGGGCTGCTTAGAGATGTTTCCTTTGTTTTCTCCCATTTCTCACCACATGTTGTATAAAGTGTCGATTCTATGATGAGAGCCAGCTCTGGTGGAACCGGTAGAAACCATGTATGCGGTGAAGCCCTCTTCATAAGGGACAGGAGATACCCAGCACATCACAGGGTGGCTTGCCATTTTTCCTAAAGACATCTATGCTTTTGTTTAGATGCTCTCATTATTTAAACTCCATCTGGCACTTTAGTCTCTTGAAAATTATTAAGTTAGGCAAGAATTAAAGATCAGGCCCATCTGGACTGCAGCATGTTTTTTTTGTTTGTTTGTTTTTTGCACTTGACATTCTGCTCCTTCGTCTTCTCCATGGCTTGGCACATCTTGGAGGTGCAGCTTTTGAACAGAATCACAGGATGCCTGTGAAGGGGAACCAAGACTTCGTGAAGCTTCACAGAGCATGAAGTCCCATCACACAGGACCGTGGCCAGGTAAACCTTGGCAAGGAGGGTCTTTCCAGCCCTCACCCATCCCACCTAGCCACTCATAGGGAACCTTTGCATGTTCTCGCAGCAACTAGTATGTCTGTCCTATACCAGGGACCCTGCCCGGCTCTGGGCTGGCACCATGACAGGTACTGCACCTATCCGCTCAAGTGTGGCCTGGCTGATGGTGTAGGAGTGTGTGTGCTGAGGCTGGGGCTTCCTGCACACTGAGCCGTTGCTCCGGGGTACCACTTGGGGCGATGGCCCTCGGCTGGCTGTCACTACCAGAGTCTTATGTGGACCCGGGACCAGAGGGTTCCCGTTGGCATAGATGGACGGGATATGGACACTGCCTGAGTGGAGCGAGGAAGACTGGCGCAAGTCCCTCAAGTGTCTGAGAGAGCCTGGATTTCTGTGAGCTTCTGGATTGTTGTTCCAGTATCGACTGTTGTAGGTGTTGGAAGAAGTCAGTGTGTTGTTCTCTGACGAGGAGATCTCTGTGTGAAAGGCTTTGGCTGAAGAGCACTTAGGTGGAAGGTCATCCTCTCTAAACACAAACAAAAATGAAGTTGCCATTAAAATTTACCTGAGATTTAGTCTACCCTCTTCCCGTGGAAATGCAACTGCGTCTGAAACACAAATCCCCCATCAGGAACCAAATAACACAACTGTGAATGGTCTCATTTTTTTTTTAACCAGGTCCTTAGAGCTAAACTGCTCCTTAGCATCACAGCAGGCTCCAATAGCAGAAAAGGATCAGCTCTCTCAACAAAATGCTTTCCCTAATCTAACTGAAAAAAAAATGTATAAACACATATGTATGTGTAACTTAAAAATATTCCAAACACGCCTTCAATTTAATTTATGAAGAAATCAAGTGAATTACTTGCCAACGAAAAGCTAAGAAACCAACTTATGGGTATGGAAATTTTTAAGACATTTTTAGAAGCCCTGACTTTATTACCTGTGGGATTTTGTAAAGTGACAGTGTGTGCCAATTGAGAGGTCTCCTTTCTGATCTGGTGCAGGGACTGAATCTAGCCCTATATATAGCCCAAAGCCCTTAGGAATTGTAAGAGGCTAACAGAAGTCAATAACTTAAGATGTTCCTTCATTTCTTTAACATTTCTTGAGTACATCCTATTAGATGCTTCTTGCAAAAATGCACATAAGAAGCTCTGCCAAATGAGGTGACCAGATTTGTAAGTCTGAAGGGCTGAGCAAGAGACTAAAGACGCCCCCGGGGAAGAGGTGATGCCTGGTCAGATCAAGGGCTTTAGTGAAGAGACAGTGGAAAGGGATGCAAAACCAGACTGGAACACAGAGTAAGCCTGGTGGCAGGGGAGAAGGAAATCAGAAATAGGGTGAAGGCCAGGTCCTGAAAGGCCATGTGCATCATGACTAGGAGGCAGGAGGCACTGAAGCATTTCAGCAAGATGACGTGAAACCTGAACCTGGGCTGGAACCCTTGAATCATTTTTCCTTATAGATTATCTTGACGTTTTTCGGAAGGCCTTCAGATTCCTGTCTAAACTGCCTTCTCTGGCTTTTATGCAGTTTGCTTTTCCCCCACCAGGATTGGAATTTAACATGTTGAATCCTGATTGCCACTGTGAGTTAAGAGAGTGAAATGTGGTATTTGGAGGTGGGGATCTGGGGTAATTCGAATTAGATGAAGTTGTGGGAGTGAAGCCTCCCTGAGTGAATCCTGGCAGCTCTGTACGAAGAGGGGCACCCAGTCAGGCACATACACCCATGTCCTTCCCAGCTCTTGCCAGGAAATGTTCCATGCTGCTTGAGGCTGCTGTTAGCAAGGCTGCCAACAGATGGGGCCCCTTCTTATGGCTATGAAACATCTTCCCACAGACTAATGTGTTTCAGGATACTAGTACTCTTTTGGAAGATTCTGGAAATTTTAGGCAGTGGTACCTAACTGAAGGAAGTAGGTCACCAGGAAAGTAGTACTAGGTGCCTTCTGGTATACTTCCTGTCCACCATGAGGCAGAGCACTCTCCTGTACCACATACTCTAGCTGCCATGATGTTCCATTCAAATACATGGAGCCAACCAAACACCGACGAAAACCCTCTAAAACCATGAACCAAAAGAAATGTTATCTCCTATAAGATGTTCTCTCTCAGATTTTGTTCACTACTATGCAAAAATAACATACATTCCTAGACCTGACCTTTCCAGAACTATGAGTCAGAATAAAACTATTTTAAAAATAAAGTAGCCTGCCTCAAGTATTTTGTTAAAGTACTGAAAAAGAGACTAAAACACTCATTCACATTAAGATATATGCTGTGCCTATCTATGTATAGGAACTGGTACATTTTTTTTGTCTTGATGCTACTATATATCAGAAAGGCCAATGTTAAATGAATATTTTAAACTAATGTATCTATTGTAGCAATCATTGAACATAGTAGAGATATGAAGGAGTAGGAGAACTCTTAATGAATACAGGTGAATATTGCTATAAGGAAAAGTGATAAAATGTAAGGGAAAAATATCAGTTGGTCACTCTAATGCCCATACCCATCACAGTTATATGATTAGCATAGAAATCTTGACTGCCCAGATGAAGAGACATACATAGTAGCTATGCAGAACAGATTAGGACATACAAACCTTATTTCATTAGGAATTTCTTCTTCCTCCTCCTCTTTGTTTTTGCTTCTCCAGTAAAAGAATGCTCCCAGTATTAGTGCAATGCAAATAATGATAACAACAGCACCAGTGCCAACGGCTCCAGCTATTAGTCCAATGCTTCTGGGATGGGCTGTGAAATAAATTTAATGAGAAAGAGAAACAGTATATACCTATACAACTGTATAAATATATGTAAGCTTGCTACAAATGTCCTAGTCTGTCTAAAGGACCACACTGGTTAAACCTAATGAGCATTCTACTTCTCTCAGTGGCTAGGGAGGCTCTCATTATCTGCTGCATGACTGGCCCATTTAACAACCCACACAGCTTACAGAGAGCACAGACAGGAGAGGCCAGTACCCATCCACCCTGCCTGAAGGCCCCAGTGCACTCTGGGACCTAGTCAGATACTTTCTGGCCCCATCCCAGCTGCATCAATCCCTTTTTTAAAAAGTATATAATTTTATTCTTATTAAGGTATTCTACAAAGGGGTTGTCATTTTCATAAGTCAGGTACAATGAGCACATTTATTTTTTTGGACAAAGTCACTCTTTCCTTTGTTTTCCCCCAGTCTTCCCTCCCATCCCTGACCGCAAGTTACATAGGTCATTTTCCACTTAGTTTATACTGAGTAATATGACTGCATTTGTTCACCCTTCCTTCCTCCCTTTCTTGGCCCCATTCCCAAAGCAAAAACAAACATTACCAACAACAACAACCAAAAAACCCATGTTTCCATTTCCTGAGATCCATTTAGATAGCATAATTCCCTTTTGCAACCAGAACTAAGCAGCCTAGAATTCTCAACTATTGACAAATGCTGCTTTCAAAACCAGATAACTGCTAATTAGGCAAACAGAAGGGATTAGGAAATACCCAAGGTCTTGCCATAGCTATAAGATCAATACAGACATCATAATGTTTACAGCACTATGAAATAAGAACTGGTTTGAATCTAATGGTCTTAAGGAGAGATATTTTGTCATGAAGGTTATAATACTGCTGAGGTTTAGAAAGTATACTTAAGGATGGAAATATGGCTCTAGCTATGAGCTAGATAGAGTATAAAGCCCTGAGTTCAATCCCCAGTACTAGGACAAAAAAGGAAAGTATACTTATGATATTTATATACATTTAACAATGATTAAAGCCAAATTTGTTTCTATGTAATATTCTGATAACCTCACAACAATTAAGGTTTAACAAGTTTTGCACCTCAATGTGCAACTAACTGTACTTACGGGAAATGACCTGAAGATCCAAAAGACAGGTGCTGGTTCCAATGGCATTAGAGGCCACACACTGGTACAAACCTGAAGACAAAGTGCTAATGTTCCGGATGGTGACTGTTCCCTGCACCTGGTCTGTCACAAAAAATAATAAGTAAGGATCTGGTTAAGTGGATAAATAAGAAACAAAGCAATCCAAAGACTGCAACAATCAATACAAGGTACAGTTATCAATTTTCCTCATTTTTTTTAGTGGAGGTGGGAAGAAATTTTTGGTTCCTAAATAAAGACTAAAATCATTACAACATGTTCGGGCCTGGAACTATTGAGGCCTTGTCCCAAATAAGGACTATCTCAAAGTTCAACATGCAGACCAGCATGTAAGAGCCTAAATAAGAGTGGCTAAGCTTGTCCTAGAGAATGTATGATCAGGACACCACACTTTAATTATGAGTAGCTGTGATTACATAAAGACCAAGTGAGCATCCATAACAATCCTCACTTTAGACTAGATGAAGAAACCATCTGTTCTGTCTATTCTATAACTGTGACAGTAACAATTATGATAGTTCCAATAGACTAGGGTAACTGTGAGGTTTACTGAGGGATAAAGCAATAAAAAATTGGGAAAGAAGCTAGAGAAGGCACGGAGAGCCTCAGATTTCTGTGCAAGTCTGACATCTGTGAGGGGGAGGGGAAGAAGGGAGACTGCGTAGGAAGGGTCTCAGACAGTTTCACAGTATTACTCCTAAGCATGTGGGCAGTCTTCGAGCCAGTCTTTCAGTAAAGGCATCCCATGTCTTGCAGGAGTGAGACTGCATTTGAAGCTCTAAGAAGCTCTATTATGGGCCAGGATCATCCCGGGGACAGGCTGGCCTTGAACTGACACAGTGTTAGAGGCTGGGGAAAAGCAGTCAGGGCCCAGGGCTGTCAGACAATGTTTCTCCCCACATCAAGAGGTCTGAGAATTACCTAGCCAGTTTGCATCTTAGTAACTCATCAATACCATCACAGTTTATATTATTCCTGTAATAATAAATATCAAACAGTCATGAAGATGTGCCAGGCACTAGGAAAACTTTTATATATAGTCTTTTATATGTGTTATCTGACCTTTATCTAAATAATCCTTTTAGGTATCTTTATTATTAATCTCTTTGGACCACAAAGAGATTAGGAAATAAGTAGTTGGAAAATAAGATTACACAGCCAGTCATTAGAAATTAGTATTGGATGGATGTCTGTCTCAGCTTCTAAGTTCTAGTCTTTACTTTCTTTTTTTTTTTTTTTTTTTTGTCGGTCGTGGGGCTTGAACTCTGGGCCTGGGCGCTGTCCCTCAGCTCTTCAGCTCAAGGTGAGCGCTCTACCACTTGAGCTACAGCGCCACTTCCGGTTTTCTGGTGGTTTATTGGAGATCGGAGTCTCACAGTCTTTCCTGCCCGGGCTGGCTTTGAACCGCGATCCTCAGATCTCAGCCTCCTGAGTAGCTAGGATTACAGGCGTGAGCCACCAGCGCCCGGCAGTCTTTACTTTCTTGCCCTTTGGCAGAAAACATAATGCATTCTGTCTCCTAAACTAATCAAAATTACTGCAAAATAGTAAACGGAAAAACTTCCTAACAGCTAAGAAAGAGGTTCTGGCACAAAGTCCAAACATGCCTGAGGCCCCACTGGGAGCTCCTCTGCCCTGGGGTCAAATTATGTTTATATAAACTAAGGTTTAGCTATCTGGTGTCTGCAGGCTACTGGCATTCTTATCTCAATCATAGGAGCAGATGTCCACAGCCTGCCTACCTTTATCAATTTCTTCATTTACTAATATACTTGGGCTGGGGAATACTGAGAACTGTGATACAATGATGAACAGGACAGATCTTCATCAGAGAAGAAGACAAGCATTTCCAGTAAATGGGTTACATGCCAGACAAGGCTAGGTTACTACAGGTACTAGGGGAGGTCTAATGAGAGTCTGCAAAATCAATAGAGCATGGAACAGGAAAGAACCACTGCCCCACACTAGACCATGTATCAGAAGGAATTCACAGGATGATCCTCATAACGCCAGTGCTGTCAAGTTGTCCTTAAACCTCTAACATAGTACACCAGACAGTCATGAGGAATGACTCCAAATCATCACATACATACTTGAATTCTCTTTGACATATTGGGCAGGAAAAGGAGGCACTCCATTTTTGCCTTTTTAAAAAAATTAAATCCATACAATACAGGTATTTTTCAAATGGATGACAGGACACAATGCTTGATAATCCTGGATATTTGGATATGATACATACAAAGTCAATAATATTTAGTGGTTTCTCAGTTTGTCCTTCATGTATTATTTCCTTTTCTTTAAAACCAAAAGCCAACATCCCCCCCCCAAAAAAAAAAATCCAGAAAATCTTGAGAGCTATGTTAAGAAGGCTGGAAGACGGGGTTCGGTGAACTCTCTGGGTGCTGCCGCAGACTTCAGGCAGCATGCTCCTTTCCCCTGTGTTCTATCTGACTTTTCACATCTCACTTCTAGAGATCCACTTCTGTCCCCCTGGCACTTCTGCCTTCTGAAATTCTGGCAAGCACTACACCAGCACACTGAAAGGCACTCAATAAATGTTCGATCCACCAATAAAAGTGCTACCTTCTTCCTAGTACCATGTACACTGTACTAAGTCTTTAATATGTCTCATTTCATGGTCACCACATGCTTAGGTGCTATCCTCCCTATGGACAGCCATGTGATTTGTCTAAGATCACAGACACACACAGGTAGCAGCGCTTTATAAAATCAGCTCTGTACAAGAATTCAGCTCATAATCACACACCCAGCTTTCCAGAAAAGTATTTAAAACTCTACCATTCTGTGACAGGCATTCTCACCATGCCATCTTCCAACGTGGTTGGAATCAGGAACAAACTGTCTGCTAACTCCCTCTTCAACACTCATCGTGCAAGAAAAGCATAAACGCTGGGTAACCAAGCCACAATTCCATGTGCCCCTTTCTCCTTAAACTTTGAAACTCTAGCAATTTGATCTGCTCATAACAAACCAACCATTTTTATTAACATTTCCAAAGCGACAATTTGGAAAATTTTACAATAGTTTCTCTTAAGCAGCATTTGGGCATGATGTTCAAAAAGGTGAACAAAAAGGTGATTGCTTTAAAAAGTTATTTTTAAAAGTTGAAACCACTGTCTTCCCTTACTTTCTTGACGTAGACACAATGAACTGCACGAATGTGTGATTAAGTGATGTTGACATTCTATAGTGCAGAGCTGACTCAGAGTTAATCAGGGAAGGAGACAGCCATACTGATAAGACAGGATTAATCAGAAACTAAACAGAGATGTTTTCAGAGATGGACACAAGGCTGTTTGCCGTTTCAAAGCACACAGCTTTGGAAAGTTCAAAAGACAACAAATCCACTGCTTAGCTCACTGCAGCCTTGTATCCCCCACAACCACACATCCGGCCTACAAGTCTCTTCAGCGTTAGAGAGAAACAAGCCTGAGTGTACATTTCCAGTTCTGTCTTTTTCCTGGGTTCCAGAGCTCTACTTCTGGCTACCTCATCCACAGTGCTAGTGAAAATCATGTGGTCAAGAACTGCACAGCCTCCTTCTAGCCAGGCAGAATTCAGATGTGCTGGATCTCCATGGCTGCCTTAGCTTCCTCTTCTGTTGGTGGAGCTCAAAAAGTGCCTGGACATCACGGGGCACTGAAGACCAAGTGAGATGATGTATGCTAATGAGATCAGTACAGTTTCTAGTGACGTTTCTATGGAGGAATTTCCTCCCGAGATTTCTTAACAAATTTGTGTATTTTTCTGAGCCATATGAAAATATCTGTCCAAATTTTTACAAGTTTTCTTATAACCCCAAATTTCCCATATATAGTAATTACAAAATTGAATTATGTATTTTCATTATTTATATATTTTAAATAATAATATACTTAAATATTTAATAATAAATTGATAAAATTTATGTAATAAAAACAAATAGTAAATCATTTCTATTTAGCCTCAATATTCTGTTAAAAAAATCATATTCAGTGAAGTAAGCCAGACCCAAAGAAACATAGGTCCCATGGTTTCCCTCATTTGTAAGAATCAGTATATGTTTAAGGTTATCCTAGCAGATGAGCAGAATAGCTCAATAGCTATGTACATATGCCCATATAAGATGATGCTAAGTGAAATGAACTCCAAGAAGTTTTTCTTTGTTGTTGTTGTTGTTCATGTACTATGTGATTTCTTCTTTCTTTTGTATTTTTTTTCTTTTTTCCCCTGTGATTTATCCCCTGCTGTCATTGTACTTGATTTTGGTGCCCTGGGTATTTTATATGCATTTATCTGAATGAGGGAAGGGAAGAGAAACAACAAAATGGTGAGACAAAGGACAAAGGGGGAAGCAATGCACAGATAACATGTTGGAAATGATCTGTACAGGCTGGGGAGAGGGAAAACTGAACAGTAAAATTTAAAAATTAAACAAACACATGAGGACAATCTGCTCTGCCATTGATTAAAGCTATGTGTGTATGTGCTGTTACTGAGGCTCAAACTCAGAGCCGCACACTCCTCTTTGTTTCCTTGCCCAAAGCTAGTGCTCTTCCACTTGAGCCATGCCTCCAGTCAGTATTTTTCTTGTTAACTGGAGATGGAGTCTTAAGGAACTTTCTGCCTTGACTGGCTTTGAATTTCAATCCCTCAGGTTTCAGCTTCCTTAACAGCCACTCGTGCCCAGCTTAAACTTAACAGTGATACTTTACCTTCCATGTACATGCTATTTCTGTTAGCTCCATTCCTTTATTCAATTATAAAAATACTTTGTCTGCATGCTCTGATTTTGGTTTTGCCATTGAAATAGATATTGTGTTTGCCAATTCATATATTTTAATCAATTTCAAATTTCATGTCCATATATTCTACAGCATTATTCTTCATTTTTCTTTAACTTTCTATTAAAGTATTTGCAAAGAACTCAAGATAATTTTTATTTATATGAAATAATCCTTAATATAGTCTTACGTTGAAAGATATCAGGTTATTAAAGGTGTCTGAACTCCCATTTCCTATATGGGAAATAGGAAATGTTTTTCTCCTTCCCATAGGAAATGTTCTCTTCTTTTACTTATCCCTACTTCAACTTTTTTATATTAAAATGGACCACTTTCAAAGAAGAAGTGGAGGAAGGGGAGGAGGAGGAGGAAGAAGAAGAACAGGAAGAAGAGGAAGAGGAGGAGGAGGAGGAAGTGGCGGTGGTAGTATAGGAGGCAGCAGCACCATCAGGTTTCAAGACAGCATTTACATAAAAAAAAATTAAAAAGAAAAGACAAAAGACTAGAGGATAAAACACACTGTTCGCATATCTATTTTGCAGTGGGGATTTTTCAGAAGTATGTAAAATCAGTCTTTTCTGCTACCAAGAAGTAACTCATATGACATCAGTTACTTAGTTCCTTAACCTGCATTGTGATTACTAGACTTTTCCAACTTTACTTCTGTAATGGTTAAGTTTTAATGATCATAAATAACTTTGAATCATAAAAATCTGCTAAATCTGGCTGAAACTGACTTCAGGCTGGCCTAAGCTCATATGCAATACTTTCTAATTACAAAAGTGAGATAAAGTATACTCAGTGATTATTTCAAATATATTGTCTAACAAAGATGAGGAGTATCCCCACAGGAGCCAGAGAGGAGGAGAAGGCAAAAAGCCAAAGCTTGATTTAGGTCTCAGATGGAGACTTAAGTGTACAGTGCACGCGGATGGGAAGAGACAGAGCCCAGTGTTTACAGCCGGGACCTAGAACAGGCCACTCCATCAGTGATAGGGAGAGAATTCCACCAACTTGCTCAGTAATCAGTAATCACTGCTGTATCTAGTATCCAATTGAGTCTTCCCTGGGGCTGTTGGCAGAAGCACAGTCCACAGACTCAGGGCCGCCATGCAAGTGGAGAGCTGGAGGAGGAAAGGGTTGCAGGGAAAGGGAGCTAGCCACAGCAAACAGGAGGACCGGCATACAGGAAACATGATACTCAAGTTATATGAAAGCCGCTACAACATGTCACGCTGTTAAACTCCCTGAGAAAATTAATGCGTGAGGTCACAAGAGCCAAAAGCAGCTTTCAGAAATAAAAGGATGTCACAGAAAAGTGTGGACAGCAATTGGCTCAGGGGAGAGATGGTAGTGTTTTTAAAAACAAGACCAGAAACGAAGCCCTTTTCTTGGTTTAAAATTTTTATCTTCTTGTTATGCTCTTGCAAGATAGTTCTCTAGGTGGCCTTGGGCTGATCCAGGAACGCTGCCTTCTGCTTTCTCGCTGGTATCTCTCCAGAGTAACTGTAGAATATGCTGGGAAGGCAGCATCTTGAGTTAAGGAGGAAGGGACTGGCTGGAACACTCCAGGCTCTGCTCTAGTCTGCTTTGCAATACATTACCCTGGGGTATCACATGATACCCTGTTAGAAAGCCAGGGAGAGCTGTTCTCTCAGCCGCCACCTCAGTGCATGGGCAACCTCAGGGACATGCGCAAATGACACTCTATGTACACTAGGCAGGTTTTCTGAGCCTTGCGGAACTGGAGGAAAGTCCCAGATCCAGCAGCCCCAAGTGACTGGGCAGGACAAATGGGAACAAGAGATTTCACTACTAAACAATTCTGGGGCCTTATAACTATTCACTCTCATGAGACCTCAGGGGTTCCACAAAACCTTCCTAAATCTCTTCGAAGGACATTCCTTTAATTAATCTAAGGATCTCCTACTAAGTCCTATCTCTTAAAGGGCCCACCACCATCAGAGTGAGGACAGAGAGGACCAGGCCTCCAATACACTGACCTCTGAAGGACACAGGCAAACTATAGCCAAACCACAGCGGTCCCTTCATAACTGTTTGCCTGACATTTCCTCATTATCAGATTCTAGTTGCTTTTCACCGGAATACAGCAGAAATATTATCCTGAGTACACAAATTAAAAATCTGACTCTAATAATGTTTATTTTTACAATAAATAATCTTTATCCAATGTAATTCTGATGATAAATCCAAAGTTTCAAATTATAAAAGGTGAAAGTTTTTATTTTCGACATTCAAGTTCATTTTTGTACATAAAATACCAAGAATACTCAAGTTGCAAAGACAATATACCGAGTTATTTGATAGGCACACACCTGCCAGAAACCAAGAGACAGAGGGTTCTTTCTAGGAGTATTTCTCAACTTACTACAAAATAGCCATTGTCAATGTCCTTTTGTAATTCCAAAAATGCATCCAATATTCCACAAAAATTGCACAACATAGGCATGAAATAATGCTGCCACAGAGGCCCTTGAAGATGACATTGTTGACCCTTTTATTTTACAAAAACTAACATCAGTTTGAGAAGTCAGTCAATAGTTAAGAAACATACCGGAAAACCTGGGATTTGAACATAGTTTTCAGCAGTTTAAGACAGAGCCATTTTAAGTATCTTACAATGGTAAGATTAACTAGTACACATATATACACACACACATACACACACACAAGCCATAATATGGCTGAAACTTTCAGCTATAAACAATCAGTGTTTCACAATATTGTAGTACTCATTATCAGAGTAACCCAAACATTATTGTGTTTTAAATAATGAATTTGGGGCTATGTGAATTAAGAGAGGACAAGAAGGTCAATCAGTATTCCTTTGGGTTTTGGGAGGCTTTTGTTTGTTTTGTTTTTTGTTTGCTAGTCCTGAGGCTTTAACTCAGGGTCTAGACACTGTTCCTGAACTTCTTTTGCTGAAGGCTAGCACTCTACAACTTGGGCGACAGCACCACTTCCGGCTTTTTCTGTGTATGTGGTACTAAGGAATGGACCCAAGGCTTCATGCATGCTAGGCAAGCACTCTACCACTAATCCCAACCTGAGAGTCTTAAGGAAACTAACATCAGCTGACAGCTGAGGACTTTTTCCCTTGCCATGGCAGTCAGACAGGCAGGCAGGAGTTCACAACATGATTCAAAGTTAAGAACAAGTAAGGCTGTTTGGGGCCTCCCCCTTAACTGCCAACTCTATGCTCTGTGTGTGTATGTTGTACACATGCACATCCGTGTGTGTGTGTGTGTGTGTGTGTGTGTGTGAGTGTGCATGTGCGTCTGATTTGAGGCTGTCGTTTATTGCTGGTATTGGCTACTAGAACTCAGGCCTAGTGCTCTGTTGGCTTGTTTACTCATTTTTGATACTCTACAACTAAGCCTGACTTTTCTCTGGTTGTATTTTTCCTGTTGTTGGTTACTTTAGAGATGGAGTCTTGTGGACTTGCTGCTCAGGCTGGCTTCAAACTACAATCCTCTGGTCCTCAGTCTCCTGAGTAGTTAAGCTTATAATTGTGAGAGCTTTATATTTAAATTAAGATTTGTGACTCTGCCCTAAGAATGCTAAAAGGAACATTTTCTATAACAGAGATGATAAAAAATAGGATCCTATCATTTTTCCTCATTTTATTTCATAAAACTTTCTCAAATTTTCAAGGATGTTTTCCTTAAAATATCCAAATACTAGGGGTTTGTTTGTAAGAACCATGATACTTGTGTCTCTCCATCTTTATCCTGTCTTGTGTGACCAATCCTTGGGTCTCCTGGTCCTTAAATATCCATTGTGATGGAACAGAACTTCCCCTGTGTATAGAAAAGTCAACACGCAAAAGGGAAAGAAACCGTTGTGCTAGACACACAAAAAAATCTAGAAAAAAAGACAGAGGTATTTTTCAAAGTATATGAAAGTTCATGACCATGAAAATCTCAGAACTTTCCATGAAAAGGAATGAAATGGGTTAAGGGGCACTGTACCTACCCTGAGTGGCTGTTGGAGGTAGCTTGAGTGTGTTATCCAACTTCTCCCAGAGGTAAGTCGGCCGAGGAATGCCTTCCTCTGAGCTACACAGCAGGATGACATCGCTGCCGATATCCTGGGATCCTTGGATTTGGCAGTGTGGGGCAGAAGGGGGAACTAGAATATGCAGAGTAAGCAAAGGGGTACATGGTTACTATGAGCCAAGGGCTGACAAGGAAAACATTACCATTCAGTACTGGGGATCCTCAGGGAACACTGTTCCTTGATTACACACCAGGAGAAAATCTCCAGGCAAAGCTAGAAGGTAGTCGTGCGCTAATTAACAAGACTTGATTTCAGGACAGGGCCTGCAATTTCATCAGACTAGGGACAAATTTGTGATGAGCTGCACCTTTTCATACTTCAAAGCATCTCATGGTCTTGGTTTGACTCTGCTTCACTCTGCTCACTTCAATGGATCACCATCAAAAACACTGCTGGAAAGCCCCTCTCAGTGGCAAACTCAAGTTCCTACCCTATCAACTCACCCTATCAACTGTCCTCTGACTGAGACCACCTGGGCAAGGGGATTAGTTACTTTACAAACAAAACCAGACAAAATACTTTATACCAAATTCTGCTTTGTGGTGGGGAGTTAGAGTAGGGATCAAATTAAAGGAAAATTGGTAATAAAACAGTTGACATTTGTAATCATTAAGATAAAAAGAACACAAAGGGTAAGAAAAAAATAACTAAAGAAACAATAAGGAAGAAAGTGGTGATTTGTACTAGCAAAAAAACAAGGATTTTTTTTTTTTTTTAAATGAAGCCTGTGGCTAGAGGACTCGTGCCGGGAAATATAGACACCAAGAGTATAAGGACAAATGATATATTTTTTAATTGTAATGACTTTTCAGTGAATGTGTTCTCTATTTCATAAATAAATAGACAAATCTGAAAGGCATGCAGGTTATATAGAGCAGTGAGGAAGAAGAGGGGGTGAGGGAAGAGGGAATCATGAAAAGGTCTGTTTAGGAAAGGTAAGGGAAGTGAGAATCTCAGCAAACCCTTAGAGCTATGGTGGAGTGTAACCCCCCTTGGATTCACATCTGTGACAAGGATGCTGCTCTGAAGGAAAACCCAAAATAATTCATTGCAGGTAGTACCAACTAAAACACGAAGGCTTTTTTTCCTTAAAAGTTAAAAAAATAAACAAATCACCTGGGAAGCCCGTTACAAAACTTACAGATATAAGAATGAGATTTAATTCCACCAGGGATTAGAGCATGCCCTTAACCATGAGGGGAAAAGGGCAAGAATCCCCACCATCAATATCCTCAAGTAACTACACAATGAAAGTAGAAAAAGGGTGAGTTTACAAAGGACTACAGAGCCAGGTTCTGAGACATGAGTAGGATGGAGTCACAATGGACTTTGTCCTAAATTAAGTGAGCATGGCCACCTCGGCCTACCTCAAGTATCCATTTGGAAAGAAGACAGGAGAGCTGAAGAATCTAGTATGTTTAGAGTATTTAGTATGACAGAATCTCAACAGCACAGCTTGACAGAAAGAGTGCTAGTTTGAGTATGAGAGAAAAAAAATTTTTTTCTTGGTCGTGGGGCTTGAACTCTGGGCTTGGGAGCTCTCTCTGAGCTCTTCAGCTCAAGGCGAGTGCTCTGTCGCTTGAGCCACAGCACCACTTCTGGTTTTCTAGTGGTTTATTAGAGATAAGAGTCTCATGGACTTTCCTGCCCAGGCTGGCTTTGAACTGTGACCCTCAGATCTCAGTCTCCTGAGTAGCTAGGATTACAGGCATGAGCCACTGGTGCCCAGCCGAGAGCAAAATTTTAACATGTACTATTCATTGTCTTATGACCGAAGGCTCTAAATCTATTTGGTCCTTGGTATGAAGATATAATCTTTATTATTCAAGCAAGGATAGCTGTGAGAATAAGATGAAATTATTAAAATTACTTAGGACAGGCTGAGCACCTGTGGCTCATGCCTGTAATCCTAGCTACTCAAAAGGGCAAGATCTAAGGATCACAACTCGAATCCAGCCCAGGCAGAAAACTCTGTGAGACTCTTATCTCCAATTAACCAGCAGAAGAGAGCTGTGCCATAAGTGGTAGAATACTTGCCTTGTATAAAAAACCTCATGGACAGCACCCAGGCCCTAAGTTCAAACCCAAGAATAACACACATGTACACACACACACACACACACACACACACACACACACACACACTACTCAGGACAACAGGTCTAATCTGAATTGGTGGGACTGTACTCTGTTTCAGAGGAAATACTATATGCTGAAACCACTGTTCTGCACTCAAAATTATAATGACTTAATTTGTTCTCAACAAAAGCATCTGTCCTGTAAAAGCTTAAAAAAATAGAGGTTCTGCACATCCATGTTTATTGATGCTTGGTTTATGACCTAGAATCAGCCAATATAATATGGCATGTATATGAAAAGCAATACAGTAGAAGAGTTTATTTGTTCAAAATGTACTCTGCATGATGTATATAATATCACAATGAAGCCTCCTCATGTTATAAATGCATATTAATTTAAAAATAAAAGTAAAATATCCACTAAAATATTCTTTAAAAAAATAGAAGTTCAGGGCTGGGAAGGTGGCTCAGTGGTAGAGTGCTTGCCTTGCATGCATGAGGCCCTGGGTTCGATTCCTCAGCACCACATAAGCAGAAAAAGCCAGAAGTGGCGCTGTGGCTCAAGTGGTAGAGCACTAGCCTTGAGCTGAAGAGTTGAGGGACAGCGCCCAGGCCCAGAGTTCAGGCCCCACGATCGGACCCCCACCCCCAAAAATAGAGGTTCATTTCTGATAGTAATTTGTACCAAGTAATTTGTACCATCAGAAAACACGATGAAATAGGTCAGACCACCTGAAATTAAGAAATCGGTGGGAAGCCTGTATAGAAAACACAGAGACGTAGAGAAGGGGTAGAGTCTGAGGTCAGGAAAGGAGCACAACCACATTGAGGGTGTAGAAGGAAAGGCAAAAGCAAACACATCAGACAGCAGATTCCTAAGTGGTCCAAGAGGCTGGGCAGTTCCATCACTCACCTAGCACTGTGAGGCCAGTGACCCCAATGTTCCTCCCCCCTCGGTCAGGAAGGTTGTTGACTAAACACTGGTAGGTGCCTGTATCTGAGAGCTGAGTGTTGTTAATGAAGATAGAGACGTTGGTGGCTGGCATGGTGCCTGTAAATCCTACCCTACCATGGAACCGGGGGGCACCGTCAAACATCTGTCCACCCTGATACAGAATGACCTACAAAAAAACACAAAATTAATAAACTGGTTGTTGTGTCCTTTCTCCCAGATATATAATAACTAGCCAGTAGGCAAACCAAATATTCCTGCATGAAATGTTAGGAAAATATATTTCTAACAGTTGTCCCCAGCATTTCGTTATTGTACCTATCCAACAGGTATCTTTAAAGAGAACATATTTTCCTTATATAATTCATCAGAACATAGAAATGCTATCAATTCATAAACAGTTTATCAAAGGAAAGGAAAAGTTAGCATTGCCATTTTCATAGTTCTTAGACAACAAAATGATTGATCGTAGTTATAGACCAAATATCAAAAACTGTCAGAAAAGGTTCACAACTGTGTATGTAAAGAACTGTAGGCCAAGTTCTATTCTTACATCTTCTCCATCACTGAAAAAAAAAATATGAGGTTGAACAAAATAATCTTAAAGGCATAGTTTAACTACAATATTAAATAGCTTCAAGAAACAAAATAGGTTTCCACTAAATTTGATATTCAAAATTTCAATTTAGAAAAAATTTTAAGTATTACTAAGTTCATTGAAGCAGAAAACCTTCATGGAATTGTTACCTTTGCAAAAAGCGGTGTGGCCTTTATCACAACTCATTAATTTTTTGAGCATTATTTTCTACAGTGGTTATCACAAATGATGACTCTTTTCCTTGTCATATATTCTGTTAATTGAGAACAGCTTCTATTTTCATGTACATTCTTTTGTGTGACACATTGTAATTTATGAGAGAGAGACTGTTGGCTAGTAAGCCTAATTTTTAGATACTTATGAAACTAATTCAACACATTAAGTATTAATATCTAATTGTCACTTAAAAAGTACAGTCACTCACTTGTGTTAATGTCAGCCCTTTCCTGACAGAATCGACCATGCATAAGCCAAGCACCAATGGTTCATGACTGTAATCCTAGCTACTTGGAAAGCTGAGACCTGGAAGATGACAGTTCATAGCCAAACAAAGCAGAAAAGTCTCTGAGATTCCATGTCCAAAATGACCAGCAAAGCAGCTAAACTGTACTTATGGCTCAAATAGTAGAGCTCCAGCTATGAGCAAGAAAGTCAAGTGAGCATGAAGCCTTGAGTTCAAGCCCTAGTACTGCCATAACAAACAACACAAAATATAGACCTGGCCTTTACTGTCTTGGCATTTTCCTATTTTCATATGTAAAATTTCTTCTTTAAATCTTTCTTTTTAATCCCAGGTTCTAGTTTCAGATCTACTAAGATTCTTAATCTTAATACTTGGTGATGATGATGACATCCTTTAAAAAGAGGCTAGCCTCCCCTGATAGTTGATTAATAACCCACAGAAGGGAGGACCTAAAATAGCACAGGCACACTGAAGACGCCACCTTCTTCTAGGAATCGAAACTTCACTCAGGATGCTCTCCCACCCACCTCTTCAGTAAAGATTAAAGGCGAGGGGCAGCATAACATGGAACTGCAGTACCTGCTCAGGTTGGTTAGCATTCGAGAGAGGAATGACCATCCAAATGACATTGAGGTTAATAAGGGCAGCACTGGTAGAGAAAGTGCAGGGCAGGACTGCAGTCTGACCCCGGGCCACCTGGATACTCCCAGGACTCTCTGATACTTCCAGAGACACTGCAACACCTACAGAGAAAGGAAAGCACGGTTAGCAGCTTTCTCTTTCCTGACAGCTCAAAACCCCTCAAGAAGATCAGCTTGTTTTATTTTATCATATTATCGTTGATAATGTGATCAGAAAGGTATGACTGTCTTACTTAATGACTTACTTAATGATCAAATAGATCATTCCTTTGCCTCTACAGTTGGAAAACATTAGAGGTTCTCTTGTGTAACATTATCCTCAGTATTTAACCAAATTCGAGTAAAATGCAGGGGAATTTCTACTGGTGGGACTTTGGCAAAAGTTATAAATGGTGATAAAAGATGAGAAATAAAGTTAATTTTTAAAAGCATCATTAACAGCATTAAGCATCATTCAACAGTAAGCTAAGAAACTTACAAATACATAAATCAAACAAATATGTGAGAAATATACATGATAAAAACTGCATTTAGAACACTAATGAAAGAAATCTGTTAGCCTAAATAAGTGAAAGATATACAACATTCATGAATTGAAAGACTCAATCATATCAAGATGTCAGTTCTCCCCACTTTGATCTCTGGGCAATTTAATTCAAAATTCCTCTTGACTTTTGCAGACATGAAGAATGAGAATGACCAAAAGAGAATTTGAAAATACTAACAAAGGTGAGTGAAACAGTGCTACATGATTAGAAATTTGTTGCAAACCTACAGTAATCAGGACAGCTGGTACTAACATAAGAAGAGACTTATAGACAAATGGTCCAGGACCAAGAATGTGGAAACAGACCCTCATACTTATGTCTGAATACTTTTCAACCAAGGTTCAAGACAATTAAATGGAGAAAAGACTAGAAATTCAAAGGAGGAGGCAACAATGCTTGATAAGAATTGTACTCATTTCCTTGCTCATAATTGTAACCCCTCTTACTTTTTTTTTACAATAAAAAATAGTTATTAATAAAAAAGAAAAGGGGGGTGGAATGTAGTCATGGAGATGGGAGGGCAGGGATGGTAGCGGAAAAACAAAGGAGGAGGCAACAATGCTTGATAAGAAATGTACTCATTCCCTTGCTCATGTAATTGTAACCCCTCTGTATGGTATTTTCACAATTAAAAAAAATATTAAAAAATAAAAAAGACTAGAAATTTTGCTTTTCAACAAATGGTGCTGGGACAATATACTGTAACTATATAGAGAGATCAAGAAAGACAATTTCAACCCAGAATATACAAAATCAACTTTCTGTGCTCATAAACCTTAATGAAGATAAACATATAAAATTTATATAAATAAAGAGAAGGAATCTAGTTACTTTGGACCAGTCAAAGGTATGTTACAACATCGTATCTCATACAAGAAAACAAGTTAGTAAATCTGACCTTAAAGTAAAGAACTTTGTAGTTCAAAAGATTTAAGAAAATACAGTTTTATTATAAATTATATGAAAAGGACTTACATCCAGAATGTATAAAGAAGTAGACAACTCAATTAAAAAGACAACCTGATTTGAAAGAGACATTCACACTAAAACCACAATAAGATACCAATGCACATCCACTGGGATGGTTACAATCAAAATAACCAAATACTAATGAGGATTTAAAGAAATCAGCATTTTATGCACTGCCGATAGGAAAGTAAAATAGTACGACTACTTTGGAGAATAGTCTGTTTCTTAAAAAATTGTGTGTGTGTGTGTGTGTGTGTGTGTGTGTGTGTGTGTGTGTGTGTGTGTGTACTATTACAACACAGTAATACAATTGCTTAGGAACCTACCCAAGTAAAATTAAACATACTTCTACCCAAAGGCTTGTTCATGAATATTCAAAGTGGCAGTATTTATATCATGCATGGTGAAAGAGAAATAAAACAAGGATCCATCTACTACTGGTGAATGAATGAACAAAATGAAGTGTAACCATATAACAAAAAAATGCTATTTAGATATAAAGAACATCAAAACTACTGATACATGTTATTAGATGATTGAGCCTCTCAAAAATAGTCTGCTCTTCAGGGCACTGGTGGCTGTCTGTAATCCTAGCTACTCAGGACGCTGAGATTTGTCATCGAAGTTTGAAGCCAGCCCAGGCAAGAAAGTCTGTAAAACTCTTATCTCCAATTCTACCAAAAAGCCAGAAGTGGAGCTGTGGCTCAAGTAGTAGAGTGCTAGCCTTGAGGAAAAAATGCCCAAGGACAGCACTAGGTCCAAAATCAGCAAGAAAAATATATACATACATATATAATATACTATATATTCTGCTAAATGATCATGAAAGCGACCAAAAAAATGTTGAAAAGAAGAGAGGAAAGAGAGAAGCTAAATAATATATACAGGATGAGTTTGGTCCAAGTATATTATATGCATGCTATAGATATCACAATGAACTCTCTTTGTGCAATTAACTTATGCTAATAGAATTCTTTAAAAATAAATTTACCCCTTTGATTAGGAATTAAAAATATTTTTGCTAAATGAACAAAACCAGATCTAAACCCTGAACAACATTTGACTTCCCATACCTACTGTGTAGAAAGGCAAAACTGGAGAGGAGGAGGAAGATTACTGGCTGTCTCGGCTGGTAGGGAAGGAGTCCGGCTTAATACAAATAGACTTAATGAGACATTTTTAAGGTGATGGAAAACTTCTAAAAGTAAATACTTGTAATGCATGTACAACTCATAAATTTAGCAGAAATCACCGGTAAATGGGTTAGTTTTGTAGAATGTAAATTATACCTCAATGAGACTATTAAAATTCAAAGAAGGAAAACATTGACTCATCAGGGCTCCTGGGAAGTCAAAACCTTGCTTATCACTTGGGCAGAGAAATGGCTGTGTCCCTTCAATGATGGAAGAACATAGAAATAAAGTGCCACTAAAATAGATCAAGGAAGACCCTACCAAGCAGCTATTCTATTGGTGTATATCATGAAAAATATACAAAGTCCAGGGCAACAACTCAACTGCTTTATTTCAAATGCTAATATATCAATTCTCCCCCAAAAGTGGCATGACAACATACTGTTATGACTACAGTTAATTTTTATCAATGTACATAACACTTTCCTTCTATAGAACTTCATGTTCTTCACAGTCTGATCATGTTCTCAGGAGTTAATTTTGCAGAGTAAAATACTTCACAAAGTGAGCCATCTGTGATAGAATATAAAGAACTTGATAAGGTCAGAAAAAAAGTCTGTTTCTAGGCAAAGTCTCTTAGTTCTAAAAAGAAAGTTCAAAGAATCTCAGAATTTAGAGAAAGAGAAGATGACTGGGTCATGCAACCGGCAATGAATACAAGCATGAGCTACTTTATCAGGGTGCAAGTTGACTGTGGAAGTAGACAAGCTAACATATAGCACAGCAAATTTATGATAGAGACGTAAGATTGTCAGGAACATGGTAGTACCTGCCTATAACTCCCAAACTCAGAAGGTTAAGACAAGATTGTAGCCTGAACTACAGAGAGAAAGCCTACCTTACAAACAAACAGATAAATAAATGGTAAGTTTGGAAACCAGGGTGGTAACAGCATCACTGCATTCGTCAGAGGATATACCAAACCAAGGGCATGTTTGTCACCATATAGGATGAGGTATAACCTCCTATCCTCTGTCCTCACCAACCACTTCTGCTACTCACCAGTTGAAAGTGCAACTCACACGATTTTTATACAAATCTTAAAAAGAAAAAATAATAACCAGTATAGACCAGTAAACTAAGAAATGAAACAAAGGTGTAGCTGGAACTACCAAACCAAGGTACGTGGGAGACAAGATCCAGAGAACAGCAGCAGGAGCTGCTAAGGCAGAGGCGTCCTGCTGGCAGATGACAAGCCTCTGGGGCAGCAGAAGCCAAGAGAGAGCAGCTGTATATGGTTAACGCTGCTTGAGAACTTACAAAGATGTGGATGAAGTTGTGCAGAACAGGGCAGGGTTGAAATAGTCTTGCATCTAATCAGCTAGGTGCCCCACACCCTTCCTCGCCCAAGAAGTCAGTTATCTGTAAGTCTGTGGCTTATCTCTCCATGGGGTATGTCCCTGCTATCATCTTATCATCAAAGGGATCTGCTGCTGCTGAGGGCTGTACCAGATGTGGACAATGACTGGAACTATGACTCCAACTATTCTGGCTGACATCCAGGTAAGCGGACCACACACACATACCACGCCACACCAAGCATTTGTCACAGATCTGCTCTTTTCATCCCACACAGACATCTGCTGATGGGATATGCCTATCTCAGGAAAACTGGAGGCCCAGAGAAAATTGTAAAACTAACTCCAAGGTCACAAAATCTAGAAAGTAGATAGACAGCAGTTCTGCCTGGATTCAAACCCAAACAGCTTCTCTATAGAAAACACACATCTTAGTATACCACTCAACACAAAAAAAATCATTCCACAAAGAGCATTACCATATTGTACACATACACACACACACACACACACACACACAAATACTGGAAACCAGATGAACTTTTACATAAGAATCATTACAAACTATTGTATAAGAATTCATTCTATTGCCTGCATGGAAACCTACAAATCAGGTTGTTTGTCCCATCTCCTCCCTCTCTCCCATTACGTGAGAGGTTCTCTGGGGCTAACCCCTCATGTGAACTTTGAATTCCATCCTTGGGCCTTTAAATATGCTTAAGCTTTTCGACTGAAAACAAGTTTTTACCTTCCTACCCTCTCCAGTCCTCTCCAGGGTCTGCCCTCTTTCTCTCTTCATGCTAATCTTTTGAAAGAACTGTTTGTACTCAGTCTTCTGGACTCTGCTCCCAGTCTGCAATCTATTCTTTGCCTACCACTTCTGAAAAACAGCTCCCCTGGATTTTCCAAACACCTCCTACTGATTGTGTAACCTTTAAAATAACAAGATTCTCAGGAGCATATACTAGAGATGAACCCCCTCCAATCCCCGCCCCTGCTTGAAAAGTACTTTCTCTTCAGCTTCAGTAACAGAGCTCACCTCTGGTTTTCTTCCCATCTCCACAGATAATTCCCAGTCGCCTCTGCTGTCTCAC